GTCATTTTGCCCTTGTTAAGTCTTTTTGCCCTTGTTTGTAACAGCTGATCGTTCTAGTTACTAGATATTTTATTATGAAAGTTTTTTGTATATGTAAACTTTAATCATCATGTTTTATGGTAACATTAACAGGTACAAAATTATGCTATTCCACAAGTCAAACTGCTGCACAGAAAATTGTTTTTGACAACAATCCAACTCTGCAAGCGATTAACCTACTCTTAACAGCATTTCATAGCAGGGATATTAGCCTTTTTTGTGAGAAACATAAGCGTACATTCATTGCCTTTGGCAGCTTAACCAATCACATAACAGTGTTCGAAATACCTGTCTGCAGTCTGCAATCTGCAGATAGGTTTTCAAGATTGCAGAAGAAAAATTTATACAATCTGCAATTTTGCAGCAGGAAAAATTGGCACTTGGGATTTGATGCTTTTGGCCCCAAGGACAGACAACACTTATTATATAATAAGCTCCTGTTTTGAAACAACAGGAGCTTCTTCACTAATTTGCATCAACCTTGTCTTGAATTGCTTAATATCTTTTGTTTCCTTTTGGACTTCCAAAAATTTGTCTTCACTAATTTCTGTATCTGTATAGCCGGTATAACCGCCTTTCGGCGTAACACACCAGCTGCATATCAGTCAATAGTTCGTGCTTATAAACCTGCAAGATTGTAGTATGGAGGCTTGTGTATTTGCAGAAAGTATTTCCAAATTGCAGAACAAAATTTTTACTCTTCTGCAATATTGCAGAGCACTGAAAAAAAGTATTTCGACCACTGCCTAAATATCTTCTTGGACTTGGATTGTAGTAGTATAGAGCATCCACACGAGTGCAAAACTGTGCCTTGCAAACTTGCATTTTCAGAGATTGTCTGAAGCAGCAATTTGCACAACCAATTGCACAAGGCTGTAGCCACAGGTCAATGATTTATACATTACTCACTTAGAAGACCCTTTGATAATACATTTTAGTCGACCTTTGAACAAAAGGCGGGTGAAGCCAAGTTGATTTCTTTTCCATTAAGTAGCATATTGTGCAGGTAGAGGAATACTCGCAGCCATTTCAGTGATTATTGGTTTCAAGTAGACTTTGTTGAAGTCTATACAGTCTAGTGCACAAAACAGCTGAGATATACAGAGTACCTCTTTTTTGAAGAGGTACTCATGAAGTTTTGACCCGTTAAAGTGCTTCAAATCAAGCCAGGAACCTAGTTGTTCAAATCTGTTGGTGATAGAAAATTATAATGACACTGGGTTTGTTGATCCATCATCATGATGATCTACAGTTTTCTTCCAAGGACAGATCTTTTAGTCGAGTTGCAGGGTGTGAAATCATATTATTTAATTATATGCATATGATTACATAATGTGAAAAGTTGTCATTGTCAAGCTGAACTAAAGCAAAATCAAACCTCCGGGTATATAGCACAGGAGGCAGGCCTCGAAATTAACTTTTTTCACTATTGTCCCAGAATTGTCCCGAACATAGATTTCAGTTGTCCCGAACTGAATATGGACTGTCCCAGCCTGCTTTTCAGGAAATAAGTTGATGACAAAAATAAGAAAACAACAACTGAATTTGTACTACTTGAAGTCCACTTTATTAGTAAATGTAGGGAAATACATGATAATATCATGGGCATGGCACCGTCCCTGATATTTGGAATCCCTGATTGGTCAAATTTAAATGTTTGTCAGAGTATTATATATTTATAGGCTGCCAGCAGTCTGCAGCAGGATGGATGGATCGCGTTCCCAAATGACGTGGATGGTCTTAGAATTTTCCAATTGCCCCAAAATTGTCCCGAAACGTAATTTGAATTGTCCCAAGCTGAAAATTTAGTGTCATTTGACACTGGGACAATGTTAATTTCGAGCCCTGAGGAGGTGATCAGAAAATCATCAGAACCAGCAGCTTATTAACTCAAAACAACCTTGTTAGTTGTCACAGTCGTTTTCCTAAGAATATCCTAAGCCTCAATATCTGCCATGCTGACTTGGATTCCGCTCTGGTCAGTTAAACACAATGTTTGTCCAGATTTAAGGGTGACAAACGCCAAAAAGGACTTTACAATAGAGCAGGTATGTCCCTAACATACGCCTCCCCATTCTTTGAATCTCCAACAACATATTTTGACATGGAAGAGAGCAACAGAAAGCCTGAAAAATGATGTTGATGTCATGGTTAACATAATGGACAATTGACAGATAGCATCAATCTGTGGCTTCTTTAGAAATATTTGATAGTAGGTGTGGTATCACAAAAGAACCCGGTTGGGATAGAGTCTAGTGGAGCATTTTAAACCATTATGTGATACCACACCTACTACCATAATGGTAGTAGGTGTGGTATCACATAATGGTTTAAAAAGTCAAAGTTATGGCAGTTTGGTATTGATTAAAGGATTGCACAGGACCGGATAACGTTGCCTGCTCCACTAGACTCTATCCCAACCGGGTTCTTTTGTAGCGGAGCAGGAAACCATGAAGCGTTCAATTTAAGAAATACATTGTACTGGAAACCTTCTAGGAAATAACCTATGAGATCATCTCTGTGACGTAGAGTCAGGCTTTAGAAAGGGGCAGTGACACAGCAAATGTCTTTAAAATCTCTTGTCAACATTCTCTTGGACACTGGCAAGCAAACAGCCGGGCGCTTGCTAAATTGATAATACCCGGGTGGCAAAAGAATGGCGAGAAAAAACAAGTCGGGGTTCCTTCTGTGTGCTTACCGCTAACAAGACAGTGTGAAAAATGCGACAAAGAGAAAAGTCTATTATACTGTATGCTAACGTCGTGACTCAATAATACACAGTCATTTAGTGGTACAAAATGGAGTAATACGCAGCGATGATAGCAGTACAAAGGCCATGTTTACAAAACTACGGTTCGGGTATTAGTATTGCTGTGCAACTGTGACCGACCTTGTGAGATAACGGACCGCAACTTGGCAAGAAGTAACACGGTAGCAAGTTGCCATCCCCACCAGAGAACACCCATCGCCCTGTCTCCTCTCCTTTCTTCCCAGTACTTGGTCACGATTTAGCTACGATCTAGGATGCATGTCTTCTCACTGTTGATAACGTCTGGGTTGTTTGTCTTGGCTTGGCTTCGGGACGCCGTCTTATTCCGGTCATCGTGTATCAGACCACAAACAATACTCCGCTTTCCCACGTTGTTACTTTCTTTCAATTGCCATTGAGGACGCTTTGACCAATCCTGTTACTTCTTTCTGAAGGGTATGGCGGGAAAAGCCTTCGAGAACCAATTGGAGTCCACAATTAGGACGCCATATCCAAGCACTGACCAATAGGAGAGGGGAACACATCACGCAAGGCATTTGATAAGAGAGCGGCATAACAGTACCACCCAGAGAATAGCTCTGAATTTACTTGCTGCAGATTCAGCACGGCTGAAGTTGGCCGCCGAAGCAAAGCAACATTGTAAGACCCATTTCCCTGTTCAGGGGGACGCAATGGTTGTTCCTGAAACCTATAACATTAATGAATTGCAGCATTTACTACCTTTAAGCATGGAGGTAAAAAAAGTTTATAAAAAGTTTCGCCTCCCACTGAAATGCCCAGGCCTGGTGAAAACCCGATATATTTACAGCGCATGATGAAAGTGTCCATCACAGAGCTAAATGAAATCAACACAAATGTACATACTAGTGTAACAAAAGTAATCCCAACCTTTTGTGCCATGTGAAGTGTTCAGGCCAAAGATCCGAGTTGAACCAGGTGGTCCAAGAAGAATACAAATCAAATCTCCTTCTTGTGTGGAGCTGATGAAGTGTGACAAAGGCGCCTTCTGGCGCTCAATTGTATATTGCACCATTCAGTACATTGTACCATTGTACCTCCATGGTTGTACAATATAAACCTTAGACAGCGTCGAAAGATAAGACCATAGCAAATAATTCTTATGGCTGGCATCAGAGTGGCAATGATTTTCTCCTGGTTTGGGAAAAAGTTGTTCTCAACTGTCAACATACCATGATGCCGAAAATGTTGTCACAAAAGCTCAAAACCGTTGAAAGCAGGGTATTATTGAACGTAAGGATGGATGGAAGATGAGATTGAGATGAACAGACATCTAGACGGGCAGGTACTGTAGTACTGTTGAATACCTGTTGGCTATAATATCGTGTTTTGTTGACTGAAATGCAGGAATCATGTGTTAGTTGATGCCTTGTTTTCGTTTCGCCCCGTCGCGTTTAATTGGGAGTCTGCTGCGGAATTGTCATCCATAAAATTTACTTTCTGCGGCCTCAGCAGATAAAGATTGTGCTGAGATTTCGATACAACATAGCCCCTCTGAAAGAGATGATGAATAGGAAATATGGACTAAGTCTACTGGTAAAACGCGAAGGAAGAAGGAAATGTATAACATATGACCGTCATTTGGTCGTCAGTGGGTTGGGTTTAAATTATTGCTGACCCTCCACCGAGGTCAAAAATATTCAAGATGTTAAGAAAATTACTGCGTTCGGACGCGTCCTTCGCGTCATATTGTGACTTCGCCGCGAGACGATCTCCTTTGTGATGTGTAGTCTATTCTGAAAAGCAATCCTCAAAGAAACGCTAGGGGGAGCGAATAAGCCGCCAACTGGACAGGCACTTTCAAAAGCCGTCATGTCAGGCGCAGCAGCATACATGATGATACTAAAGTCTTTGTAGAGACTGTGAGACTTTATGATAATATGTATATACAGTATATATATATATTTTTTTTTCTATCATGTGCTAATGTAAACAATAGCCTGGATTGTAGCAGTCCTGGCTAATCATTGGTTTACAGCAAGGTTGCAAAGTTCTAGCTACATGCATAAGTCCTGGCAGTGGAAAGAAGATGCCGGTGTACTCTTGTTTTGAATGACTGTAGGTTGTTGTCAGTGATCCGGCTCACCACGTTGTCCGGAAGACTGTTCCAGATGTCAATTGCAGTATGTATGAAGGTTCTGCCGGTGGCGTGAGTTCTAGAGACCGGCACAGTGAGGGCATGTTTACCAGTGGAGAGGCTGCTGCGGGTTGTGCGTCTGATTGTGTAAGGTTTAGGAAGCATCTTTTTCAGGTCTGGTGGGCATGTTGACAGGTGCATTTTGTAGATTAGCGAGACAGCAGCCACCTGACGTCTGTGAAGTAGTGTTGGGATGTTCAGTTCAGGGATATATATATTATCATAATAATATGATGTTGTTGGTAGTTTGTATAGGATACGGCCAGTTGTGTTTGGGTCTCTGTGAAGCTAAGATTCATTTGTCAATTCTTGGTAATTTTGATTTCGACTGAGGTCGATTGTTGTGTTTAGCTGGATATCCTCGATACACGCTCGTTATAGTACAATTGGCTACACGATATTTCTAGTCCCCGACCAAATGCGCTGTCATTTCGACAACGTTACGACAATGCAGTGCGCGAAGAAAAGGTCAGGCGTGTTCATGCAAGCTCTATTAATATTGGGGTAGTTATGTATTGAACGTAAGCACATGTATCTAAATGTATAAACGCTGTGGGGGATATGATTATAACGTCTTGTGCTGTAGTCAGGTTAGAAATGTGTTCGGTTGTGATATATAGTACATTAGTTGGAATACTAAAATGGCTTTTATTATTCTGTACAAAAAGGGCAAACGGTTGTTTAAGTACATTATATTGAAATATTTTTTTCCTGTTAACGTTGGCAAAAAGTCAATACACTCAGTTATGCGCATGTTCCTGATGTATGTTATGTTTCGCGCAATGGTCCTGAAACAAGGCTTTCAAAGGAAAAACACACGCATGCGAGAATTGTCACTTTTGCAATCCAAGTAAATGTATCATTTGATTTAAATTCTGTGCGTTATAAGTCAATTTTCAAATAAAACGAATAGAGCCATTTAAAATCCGTTGTTTAGGATTATGGAAAAAAAAAGAATCGGACATAATTTTGGCTGTTGTGGCCGTCAAAATAATGTTTGAAGTATGTTTAGAAGTTTATGTTCTGCGAGCAAAAATCATCTTTTGTCTAGAGTGCAAATTTTCTCTAAATGCGTTGATTTAAAGAGTGAGGTATCAGGTTCAGCCTGGTAGAACAAAGCATTGTACAGATAATCCTGCCGATTAGGGTGGAAGCCAGAAACACAGGTGTTCTTTCGGGACGCACCGTATGTTGAGTAGTGGCCGTAAGACCCAGACTACTTTCACCGGCGACCACAACTAAACACGGCAGTCTTTGACTTTGAAACTTAATCCTTCCACCCTAGCAGGGATTTTCCGTCACGCTTACTGGGATAATAAGGGCTTTCCGCGTCCAGAAACCCAGGATTTTTACTTCACGATTTGTTTTTGATTGTTGTTCGGCCATGCTCAATGAAATGGTGTCAGAATCTATTGATTTGCAGAGTAGAAACAGCGGCCAAACGGGTGGTTTTCGCAGCCTTGAAGTCTGTGAATCCATGAATCTTCGAAGTCTTAGTTTCGTTTTCAAGGGAAAAGAAAAAAACAACAACTGCACATGAATCAAACTTAATCTTATCGTTTCTAGATGTTTGATGACCTATCGACCTTATAGATGGCCGATCATTCAAACGCAAGAGCTCGTTCTACAGCTATGGCTTGTGTCATCCATCCTTTCCCACATAAAAATCAGAAGAAAATGACGACCCCCTCGATAGAATATGAAAAGCGGCAAATCTTGTAGTTACGACTCCAAACAGTCCGTGAAACTGGACCAGTTGTCTAGATTAGATGTGTTTATAAGCATGTCCGCTCGAACTGAGCGGTCACCATTTTGTGGCGGGGACATACAAAACGCCAGTGTAGAAATCCGCTGAATTAGATTAACATGTTTCCCCTCCGGCACAGCGGCACAGGGAATCAACCTATAATCTACTCTAATGCCACACTGGCGACAATCTGCCTAATATGCACTCACAGACCACTCAGCCATCCGTGATGTTAGGAACAACCTTCGTTTGGAGCCATTTATCCAATTAGCCACTTACATAGTCTACCAAGGACGCTTTTCTTGAAATAATCTCTAGATGTACCCAACGCGACGTCCTTCTGATACATTGTGTCCTTAAAAAACTACTGCGTTCTAGTTATCTATCTTCAACAAAGTAAAACAAGAAAAAAAGGTCACATTTTACTTCCATTTTCCTCTTTTAAAATCTCCACGATCCGAGAGCCTCTTGCTTTAGAGCGGCCGACGGTGTTCTTCTTACAACTAGAATATGTGTATTACATATCTAACACAAAACAGTCACAACAAAGGAGGTTGTGACTCTTATTTTGTGTCACAACATAACTGCACGGTTGGCGTACAACACTGTAATAAATTGTTTCAACCATGTGAACGGTTCGTATCAAGACCTTGTAGCAATTAGACAAATTATTAGTAAGATTACTGAGAAAACCCTGTCTAAATGGAACAGTTCAGTTTCTATTGAACAGAACAATACAGGAAAGTAACAACGAGAAAACAAATAGTACTCTTATATGTAGGTACAGAAGTCTGTATTACAGATAAGAAAGTTTACAAAATTCGTGGGAGGGGAAAATGAGTCAATAGTTGAATATCATTGCTGGTAATCGGGATATGTAGCCAAATGACGTCAAATAAATCAGATCAAACATACAAGCATGCAAAAAAAATCTCTGAAAAAATAGGGGACATCAATTCTCATCAGCGGTGATGACAAAATCACTCACGAGAAACAGATAGCTTTGTTTCTCTGTCTCAGCTGAAGATTATTTCCACTACAGCAAATTGCCTATTAATAATTACATGAGATCCCACCAAGTAAATCACTTTGGCTACCACAGGATATAAACATTCTTCCTTCCCTTAAACGCTACATTGCAAAGTAGTCAAAATGGGAAAAGTACCTCGCAGTTTGTGCTTTTGAATGTTTCCTTGGACGATTGAGACATTGGTTGGATCAGTCGGACTTTATTTCTGAGACAAGTGGTGGTTTAATTACCGTGTGAAGTATCCCCCCGACTGGTGGGCAAATAGCAGACGGCTCAGACGACTGATTATTCGTCCTCCGCTCCTCCCAGTAATTAAGGCACTCCTGAAACTTGAGTCCTCCAGGTAAAAACAGAGATTAGTCCACCACGTGTACACACAGGATCCAGTGGTGTGTGAAACACACTTATCCGAAGATCTGACCTACCATCGACAGAGACGCGCACAAGGACA